TGTGAAGACACACAAACAAAAAGTACTGAAACAAAATTATGCACTTACAAAAGAAGCTAAAGTGAGCTCAGGCGGTGCTGACTATAACTGTCAGATATACTGGTTTTTAAATAACCTGATGGTGGAGTATATAAATGCCTCCTACATCTCTTTATAGCTACAGCATTTTGAACTTTTTCCATTTTACTTTTTGTGTTAACTTCACAGAATATCACATTACCACTGCTTTTCACCAGGCCGTGGTAAAGGGCACTAGGGCCACACGGACACCGGGCCTGCCCGGTGCAATCTGAACCTAGGTTATGAAGTTCAGAGGCCAGCGTCTAACTAACCATCCAGCACTCTCTACCTGTGGAGCTCCACGTAACTCTGCCGCTCTTCCTACAGGTCTCAGGTGCGGAACCAGTGCTTACTTAAACTCCCCGCTGTTTGCATTATATACTGAAGGACAAAATATTTGGTTTTGAAACATGAGCGGACTGTCACCAGAGGCTTTCTCCCCTAATGGACCACAAAAGGTAGGCGCAGTGCCGAAGTAAATCCAACTCTTATTTTGGGCTTAAAGTGAAAAAACTTTATGTTAGTTGTCACCGTACACTTCCAGACCTACTGCCTACAGCTTAAGGCTAGTAGCAAGGAACTAAAAAAGACGAAATAATACAGGCTGAAATCTAAAACTATAAATTACACTGACTACCGTGAAAAGTGGAAGAGGTCGCACTGTTATCTGTTCTTAATTGGAACATAGCCGTTATTTTATTTCTGTGTAATTCTTGAAAAAAACGACGTTGTGTTGTTTTATTTAAATAATCAAATCAGAAATTAGATTTTCTTGCTTTATACTCGTCATGTGTAAAACTCTGAGCAGACCACGTCAGAAAAGCTCATTAACATCGCTACATAGTTTGTAGTTGTCGTCAGCCAAGCTGGCAAATGAAAAGCGAGTATTTTACCCTAAAATATAGCCTAGATAACCGAAGAGCTGCGATGACGAACCCTCAGCACGTATGAGGATATTTTATCCTGTACAACCACCTGAATGTGTTTCTTTCTGTTTATTTACTATTTAAACCAGCAGTTTATGAGCTCGGCCACCAGAGGGCCATCTAAGCAGAAGCCTATTGCATACTGAGCAAGTAAATTAGGTTTCACTGTAGGTTCAGTGCTCTTATATGCAAGTAACCAGGCATTTTGTATTTAAAAACAGCGTTAGAGGAATTGTATTCATTTAGGTATCCATATATTTATTATTTATTTAGATCCTTAAACCAGAGACCATATTTTGATCACTTCACAGCAGTCACATCAGTGAGTTCTTGGACTACATACATGTGTGAAATTGAACTTTACAAACTACACACCAGATTAAAACAAAAAACTGTGCCAGAATGTTTGTTGTTTTTATCTAAGCCCCTACTTCTTGTACTTTACTGGGTCGGATTACACATTTTTAAACACAATCTTTATTTTACGCTCAGCGAGACACCTCTAAAGTTTTATGACTGCATCTTGAAGTGTTTTGACGCTAGTGTGCTGACAAATGCATTGACAGACACATAAACTCCTGCCAGCGTGCTCAAAATTGCCTTTGTCATGATCACACACCCACACACAGTATCACACAGGGAAATAGTGCTACGCTGTTGCAGCTGATAACAAAAAAAACTGAATGTAACATTGTAGTATTAGTGACATATGTGTGACAGCATGTGTACACAGCTTTCAAATGTTGCAACTGTGTGAGCTCAGTGTTTTTTACATACTGTTAAGTGGTTCAATAGAGTTACTTATGTAACACAAATTATAAGAAAATCACATGTTTAGTGTGGTTACATGTTATATGTTTTTTTTACTTAATTTATAAAGATTTATAAATTAATTATTTGCATTTATATATTATAAATGCAGAAATAAATATATATAAATAAACATATTTTGCTGAGCAAAAGTAAACTATCCCATAGTGAATGTGAATTAGAGGAAAAGCAGCTTAAAACAACTACTAACTGTACTACGTGGCTACTTTTGACAAAGGACAACGAATGTTAAACTTTATCAATACAGCTTTTTCACTTCTCCCTATTCATCTTTGAATATTAAACCTCCAAAGGTATGGGGCCATTTCTTCCATATCTTATTTCTATGTGTCTGTCTCTAGGGATCACCTGTCAGGTCAATAAATCAAATCAGTTGTATAGTTATGTGGTACATGTGGATGGAATGGCTGAAGTGATGCTGAGAGAATCATTCACTGAAATTATATGCTTTGCTTGCCCATATGGACATAAACCAGACCTGCTCCTAGAGGCACTGCTAAAGTGCTTCTCTTAATATATTCTCATGTAGAAAACACTCTGTAACTGTATATATTTTTGCAGCGATACTTTGTTTTTTATGGCTAGCCTTTTTTTCCCAAGGTTTTAACACTACCCCCTCCACTGACAAAATATACCAGCAATTTTTTTAAACATTATACAATAGTTTGAAAAATAATATTTTATTTATGTGCAGTCCTCATTTAGGAGTCTTACCTAAATGAATAAAGGGTGGGTGATTGCAAATAAAAAGCTAAATATGACTGTTTTGCTTACGGCTAAATGCAGCACTAAGTAAGAATATGTTTAAACAAATGTTTGTTATATGTTCTGAGATTATGTCATTCATATTTGTAAAGTTTTACAAATTATAATGGAGGGTATGGCCTCAAAATAATTTTAATTGACTAATTTATTGTTTAATTCACAAAAAAAAAGGGGGGGGGGAGTGGAACACAGTTTCCCAGACCCCAAGGCAATGTCTTCAGTTTGCTTGTTTTGTCATCCAGTGCTTTCAAATTCACAGCATAAAGTGACAATGAAAAGAAAAGAAAAACTCTTTTGTTTGTGAAATTATTAAGCAGTTCATGTAATTTTTATTCATTTTGCTTGATGGTTAAAATGATAGAAACTTGAAAATAATAATAGAATATTGACCAAAGTGTGTTAGTGGTTTAAGTCCTTAATTGCTAATGTGAAAAAATAATTCAGGAAAAAGTACCTCGTTAAATTAGTTAGTTAAAGCACAAAGTTAACATAAGTCAATATGAATAAACTGTGCAGATAGATTTTAAATAAATGATATGCAGTTGACTGTATGGCCAGAGCAAAATAAGTTTATCACATGTTGAATGAGTATATTAAACATCACAGTAAGGTTAAGAGTTTGTGCATGGACTGTATATCAGGCATTTATTAAAGATGTAGAAATCATCACTGTACCTTTCCTGAAATATTGTTATTTTGTTTTGATGGTCATTCTGCATCCTGTAGTAATAGGTAGCCTACCAAAAAGTGCAAAGTATAAAAGATGGATATAGCCAACATGACATCACCAACTGGCTGGTGAGGTTCAGTTTGAATCCTCATGTTGAGTGTTCATGCTGTCACCATCTTGGTGCTTTGAAAGCATGTATAACAAACTAGAGGTGGATCTGATTGTGAAACCACATTCTTGTTGTCTAATCAGTTGTTAGTCACAAGTTAGCTTTAACTGAAAAATCTCTTTTTCTGATATACATGGACTAACGTGCACTAAATGTTTTATTTAATATGACTTGAGTATGATTAAGACAATAAAATCATCAGGAAAGTATTTGCAGAGGTCAGGGCAGAGGATCATTCTCCCAAAGAAACTGGAGTATTTCTGCTACCACAGGTAATGCCCCCTGGGGGCCACAAAAAAATGCATGTTCATTGTAGTTATGGCTATGATTTTCAGACCTGGACGCTATGGCCATCATGAACTCAGTAATGGAATACCAGCAATATGCAAGTAGTATCATGAAAACTTCTGAGTTATACATCAGGTCAGATTAATTCCCCACCATCAGTCCTTTCAGCTGTTAACATCAGACTGGTGTTATGTAGT